CCCCCCCCCCCCCCCCCCCCCAGAGGCCTCCCACCCGACAGTAACCCCTCTCCCTCCTCCCCCGTTCGGATCCTGAGGAATGTCCCCGTGGTCCCACAGACAAGTCCTCCACTCCTGCCAACTTTGATTTTCCCATCCTTAAAAAAAAAAAAAAAGAACACAATTCCCAGCCATCCCACTAACTATGGGATTATGTTATAGATCTTTTTTCTCCACTTTTCATCTGAGAGGAATGTGTTGTTTTCCCCGTGTAGTTCTTTTTAGAGCTGGGATTTTTTTTTTTTCTGCCGTTGTGCAACGGCTGCAACACGACGGCCGCCCCCAGCTATTTTTTGAAGCCTTTTGTGTTTTGATCAGCTTCTGTTTACTATAGCTGCCTGTCTGTAAAGTTGTGGCACAGTTGTCTCCTCTGGAGGCGTGTTGGAAAAGCCTGATGTGGATGACTCTTTCTCTCGCTTCATATTGTTGGGGGGGAAACAGGTTTGATTCCAAACTCAGAGATCTGCAATTTTTAAAATGTGAACCATCATTTACCCTCAAAAAATAACTGAATGAGAAAGAATGAGGGTTACATCTTTGGTTGAATAATGATAGTACTTTCATGTTGTTATTATTTTACATCCTTCATGTTTAGCACTCTTACACTAAGGAAAACAAAACAACATTTCACTAATGAGGGCAGTGGGAGCACAAAGTGAGTCTGTGCTTAATTGAGGAAGAGAAAGTGCTGCACAGGGTAAGCTCCTCTGACCTGGATAAATGACACTCGTTTGTGGGAGCAGAGGCATAAATAGTCATGCAACTCTGTGGTTCATTGTTGTTCATTGTTAAAATCCCCAAAATAAACTATCATGGTGCGGTGATGGAGTAATGGTCTCTTAGCCTTTCATCAGTGCTGTCATCAACAACGGACAATGAAAGGATAAATAAAATCAATAAAAAGGATGATAAAATGTTTGGCAACAACACCATGACACATTACAATCAAAGACAATACAACACAAAGGAAGAATGATGTATGGCAAAATAAAAGGCTCATTAAAAACATTACAAGTGCCGTTGAGTTTCTACAGTTTAGAGCCATGAAACCATAAAGCAGCCTCACCAGATTTCATGAGGAACATCTGAAAGAAAGTCAGTGGAAAATATGATAAAGAAACATGATATTTGAACATGAAACGGATTATACGTCATATAAGGGTATTAACAGCATAACTACAGCTGATCTAAAACATCTGAAACTAAAGCAGTACGTGTCAGTGCAATAAAGGATTAAAGGCGTCTTCATAACAAACTTCACTCACCACCACAGAAATACATTGTAGAAGACAGTCGCTTCAACAGACCATCATGCAATGCAGCCACAAGGCTGTCATACTGTGCTGTGAAGATGCTATCAACCTACATTGTGATGATAAAACAATCACATATTCATATCTATAAGATACTCCCAATTTAATATTGAACAGCATCACATGTTCACTTATGGTGGCTGAAAGTCCTTCTGTGAAATATAGGAAGAAATCACTACTTGCAGGTGTGACAACAAATACATGAAGGGTCGGGTTTAGAATTGGAAGCCACACCCTTATTCGAACAATGTCTGGATCTGTTCATTTATTTCCTGTTTTGTAACATTGCTAACTAACCAAAGTGACTGTTTCCGCCTCTCCCCTCCCTCTCTCCTCTGCCCCTGCAGGATAATGTGCGAGATGGTGCGTTATGAGAGACATGAGGCCAATGAAGTGCTGTACTAGTAAGTACCACGATGTCTGGAGCTGCATGGGTGTGGCTGTCTGTCAAATACTTACATATCTACCAGTGTATGAACACATGAAATAAAAAACAAAACGGGGCAGCCGATGTAACAATATTTACATTCTGTGTGATCAAAGCACAGCTCGGCCCGTTACTCAGAGTTATGGATGAGTTGAGACATGCGGGGTCAACGCAAAGCAACGGAGTGACCCGGGTGAGCATAAAGCACAGAGGCAGTCAGTTGAGGCCTTTATGAAGGTGTGTGTGTCAGTGTCACACCAGACCACTCTACCGCTGAAGAACAAGATAAGGCAGTGTGTACTGAATCAAGACCGTTATAGCTCCTAAAAGCATTTCCTTCGATGCTAGCTAGCCACTAGTAGTAACGCCGATGGGCTTCCTCCTTTCCGCCGGGTGCTGTGAAGGGTTAACATGATTGTAAAGCTGTCTTGACATTTTCCTGACAGCTTCTGATTGTGTTTGGACCCTTTTTTTGAAAGGGTGTAACAACTGTAGTAAGCAGAGAACACACGCGGCGTACGACTGCTGTCACATGTCGACGTCGTCCGAAC